CAGTTTACAAAATGTTCATCAATAAGGGGGATGTGGGGGGCAGGCCTGTATTCCAGCACTTGGGAGGCTGAGGCAAGAGGACCTCAGCAAGGTGCTGGCCAGTCTGGGCTACACAGTGACTGCAAGGTCTTTCTCAAAAACAAAACAGAGCCAGGGATTTAGCTTAGTGGTGCAGTGCCTGCCTTGCAAGGTCCTGAGTCCTATCCCCCCCCCCCCCACCAAAACAAAAAATAAGCAAAACCCCTCCCCAAATCCAAAAACCCAAAATGCTCAACAACAAATACACCTGAAGCACTCAAAGCAGTTAAGTACTCTTTAACTGTTCATAATGTGGAAGAAAACCTTTAAGTGCTTCACAGATATTCTAAATGAATCCCATAATAATAACAGAGGTAAATAAGTAGTCCCTCCCAGTTCCCCACCCAGCCCACTCCCTTGGAGGATGATCAAGTCCTTCCTATGTAGTAAATAGCATTGCGTATAACCCACACACATCCTCATACTTAAATCACCTCTAGATTATTTACTTTTTTTCTGAAGTGATTACTTATAATACCTAATACCATGTAAGTAGGGTTTAAACAAATGCTGTATCAAATAGATACAAATAGATATTGTACAGATTCCAAATAGATACTGAGAAATGGGAAGAAAATGTTCAAACGAGAAGGAGAACAAGGGAAGGGGGAGGGGGGAAGGAAAAAAGCAAAGAAGGGACAAAGGAAACAAAGCTTTTGTAAATGAGGGGAAGAGAGGTTGAAGGGAAGGGAAGGAAATGGGAAAAAAATAGAGCAAGATATATCATGTACAGGTACAAATTCCTTATATTGAATGTGATCATGCATATCTAAAATGTACCAATAAAAGAAAAAATATTCTATCATTTGGAGGAATAACAAGAAAGTAAGCCTACAGTATATGTTTAGTACAGATGTTATTTCTCTCCAAATATTTTCTGTCCGTGGTTGGCTGAACCCACAGATCCCAAAGCCAAGATAGAGGGCTCCAAATGCACTATTATTATTGTGTACTTCATAGGTGAGGAAACTGTAGAGGACATTCCCTAAAATTAAACTAACAAATAGTAGAGCCTAGATTTAAATCAGACTTCAAAGCCCACTCTCTTACTTTACTCTTCAATATTGTTCTGTAAAATACAAAAGTGCTGCAATCCCCTATCATCTCTGACTCACAAGCAAAGCATTTATTCAAATGTAATTTGTATTTAATGGCAGTTTAAGAAAACAGTTTAGGGCTGAGGAATCTGATCTTGGCTTCCTAAAGATTAGTATCAAGGGCTGATAGTATGAAAAATAGTGTACAGGTAATATTTGAGTTTCCTGGGCAAATCAGTTTTCCTGGATCAAATCTAAGTACAAATAGTCATACTTCATACTTTCTGTGGTAAAACAAGGTCATTCTGACCCTCCTCCCCATTAGCTACAAAGTAGGCTTAAACTAGTGCATTAATCAAATCACAGCCTCCTGAACTTCCTTAAGAGAAAAATACTTCCTAGAAAATAACTTCTCTTTCGGGTCCCCTTTTTGGAAAATAAATCAACATTTGTCTAGGTAACCAATCACTTTCAGGGCCAGAATTTTGATTTTCAGATACTGTTTGAATAGCTATCAACAGTTACCAAGAGTAGCTTTTCTCCATGACTTGTGGGAGATTAACTATACAAAGATTTGTTTAAAATGGCGTAATGACTAATCTAAAGTAGCAGCAAGCGTTTTTTCCCCCCAAGCATAACAGACTTCATTAGACAATTGCTGTTGTAGCAGCATAAGCAACTTTACGAGCTGGGATTATGGACTTAATTCCTGAATATAGTAGAGGCAAATGCTAACTGACTTTCACAGCAGATATCTCCAAAAACTTCAATCTTTTTTCTGACATAAATGAGGCCAGCCTCAAACATTTTCTGACATATGCTACATAAAGAATTTAAGGCTGTTTAACTTAGATCCTTACTCTGAAAGCAACCATTATCTAAGCTAGGGAGATAAAATTCACAGACCCAGCACTGAAGTTTACAATCTGGAACTAACTGTACCAAGCCGGATGCGTCAGTATTCTCATAAACAGCCCCAAACACCTCCACTGGTTCCATAAGTGATTACTGAGTTCCACATTTCACATATAAAGATTATTTCTATTAGAACCCTGGATATTTACTGTGAGAATCACCATTTACAACTGCGCTCCCAATGAGATACTGTGCATTTTAAAACATCCCTTTAACAGGAACAAAGGTTTCTGGTCTTGGTAGTGATATATCTGGCAAGGCCTTCTCTAAAGCTTTTGGCCTATTCTCCTAGGATCAGAGGAGTCGCCTAACTTTTATAAACAAAGATCCAGAATGGGTCTTAAGTAACGAGAAGCTAAGTGTTGGGCAGACAGAGGATCTGTGGGCAGGTCAGTATCCTGGTAACGTTCTTCATTCTAAGAGCAGCAGGCGAGGGAAAGAAGGTCTGCACCCTATCCCCTTATCCTGACCTATTAAGTCAGCCTGGCCAAGCCACAATCTGCAAAACAGCCTCGTGCATCCGAGGGGTGACCACACGGCAGGCCCAAAGGACAGCCCTGGAAGCTCTAGGCTGCTGAGGACAGCGGCGAGGCTACCACACCCCTCGTTCCTCTCTCTTCGCTCCCGGGGCACGGAGCCAGGCCCTTCCGATAGGCGCTCACCCCGGGTCCCGAGCCCTGACTGCCGACCCCGGGGTCGGGTCTCGTCAGCCCCTCTCACCCCAGTCCCCTGACATTCGCTTAGCCTCCCTTCCTTTCGGAGGCGCTCCCCGCCTGCGGTCCCGAGGGTGTGAACTCACGGCCGCCGCGGCGCCGGTGAAAATGTCCTCCCCTTCAGCGTCGCTGTCCCCAGCCTCGGGTTCTGAGCCCCCAGCCCCCGCGGACTCTGGATCCAGGCCGGGAAAAGGCGGAGGGAGTCTCTCCGCAGCGCTACAGCCACCACCTCCCGACGCCATCTTCCTCCACCCGCGGCGGAAGCCGCAACAACAACTTTATAGAGAGAGAGCGCCGCGAGCAAAGCGTTCCAGCGCTGCGAGGAACTCGAGGGCCACGACGGACCCCGCGAGACCCGTGGGCAGGGACGGGGTGGGGAGAGAAGGGCGGGGCCCGGGTGGCGGGGCGGGGCCCGGGTGGCGGGGCGGGGCCCGGGTGGCGGGGCAGGGCCCCGGCCGCAACCTAGCAAATCCGAGCCCTGAACCGCAATGCCGAGAGATAGCCGAGGCTGACCCGGGGGCGGAGGAGGATCTAGAGGCTGCTGCGTTCCTTTGTGCTCTATTATCTAACCGGCTTCTAAAATTGTCTTTGAATAAAGAAGCCTGTAACTAAAAATGTTTGAAAACCTACACATAACACATATTCATGCCAAGCACGGTGGCCCCACAGAGATTCGATAAATATTTTTGATTGAAGTCTCTGGACAGGCTGCAGGAAAGTTTTGCCACTTATTCTTTCGACCACATTCAGTTAATTCATTCGATATATACCGAGCATTTGCTGTGAGCCTGGCACCTTGCTGTGGATCTGAAATGAAGAAGCTCATGGCCCACGACGTGTTACAATTTAATGAAGGAGGCAGTCATATAAATCACCTCAGCATGTTAGTGCTATTAGCGTGCTGTGGAACAGTGAAAGAGGTTATCGATTCTGCTTGAAGAAATCGGGAGGCCTCAGAGGGGATGAGACCTCAGTGTATTAAATTTGGTTGGAAAGATGTTAGGATTATCCTTTTAATTGCTGTGGAGTAAATGGAGTAGAATAAATGGCAGGAAAATTGTTAAATTATGAGCATGGACCTAAACGATGTATTGTCTATCTTGGGATAATTCTGCAATACTGTATAATCCTAACTTTGGGGGGGTACTGGTTGATACTGGGGATCTAGGAGCACTCTGCTACTGAGCTACATTCCCAACCTTTTTGTCTATCTTGAGACAGGGTCTCGATAAGTAGCCCATGCTGGTCTCAAACTTGCAGTTCTCCAGCCCCGACCTCCCAAATAGCTGGAATTACAGGTAAGAGCCACGAAACGTAGACTTTCTCTTTTACAGAAATAAAACTTGTCACCAACATTGGAATGGGCGTTTGTTTCCAACTGCCCATCTTCAGCATCAGATGCTAGTTCCCTCAGGTCTGGGATCTGCTCGAGGGCAGTAGCCAGTAGCAGGGTCCCCTATTTTTGTAACTTTCCAATTTTAGTATATGTGCTGCCGAAGCAAGCACTATTTTTGTAACTTTGGTGCTAACAGGTCGCCAGGCGCTTATGGCAAATTGTCTGGTAAATATCTGAGATTTATTTGGAGGGGTGGATGGGTAAAACAGAATCATCAGTCTCATAACTGGCGTTCTTCACAGCCACGAACACCAAAAGGCTTAGCTTACCGTTTTTTAGGATGGCAATCTCCATTATGTCAATTGGACATCCTGACCCAGGGAAAGTTCTCTACTTGTAAGCTGTTTTTGAAGGCGATTGGTAGGACTATTCCCCATAACAGGGAGTTGTGCAGGACTGAGTCCCTAGGCGCTGAGAAAACCAAGAAACCCTCCCCTCCCCTCACTTTTGCCTGGTTTAACTCTGTTTACCGGCCTTCCAAAACTGGCTACTTTCCCACAAACGGAAACCCACTTCCGGCCTAATCAGGAAGTAAGGAGATTTGGGGGGGGGTGAGCAGTTTCCTCAGAGAAACGGCTGTAAAGAGTCTCCGTGCTATAAACCTTCTGTAGTACTAGACAACACGATCTCCTTCTCCCTACCTCTTCAGGATTCATCTTTGTCTTATCTCGGACGTTGACCGAGGCACTCAATGACCGTTACTTTCACACCTCCCACACAGGGGACTACAAATCCCAGAAGACAGTTCACTGTTTTACGAAGAAAACGTCAACACACCCCAGCATTCAATGCGCCTCAAAAGTAGTGAGGATCTCTTCCTTGTCGCGCCGAAATCGAGCAAACCATGCTGGGGGTTGTAGTCCTGGGTGTTTTCGTCGTTAAATCCTCCGCGCTACTCCGTGGTGTCCCGCCCATTCTGTTTCCTTGAACCTCTTTTCTAGTCTTGGCCGGTTTGAAGGCCGGAAAGTTGATAAAACCTGAGGCCCGCTGCTGAGAGACGGTGGCTCGGGTGGGACAATCGCCAGGGATGGCGGAGCGTGAGGATGGAGCGGGTGTTCGGGCTGCTCTCCTGGACGCTGAGCAGAGTCCTGTGGCTCTCGGGCCTCTCTGAGCCGGGAGCTGCCCAGCAGCCCCGGATCATGGAAGAGAAAGCGCTAGAGGTTTATGGTAATTAATTTTATCCAGTGCTGCATTTAGCTCTGTATGTAGAGGCGGTGGGAGGTGGGGAAAGGGGTTTTGCCGAATCTAGCCGGGAGCGTGGGAAGCGTTTTCTTCGGGACCCTAAGCCTCACGGAAATTTGAATCCTTACAGCACTGGGGCTCTCCCTAACCTGGGGCACACTAAGCCTGGAAATCTTAAACGCTTCATTCCCCGAGCTCCCCCCATGCCCAGTGGCCATTCCGACTGCGGGCAAAGCAGAAGCCTAGGGTGGTCAGTAAGGGAGCAAAGCCGGCCTGATGGCGCCACTTGAACCACCTTCGTACTGCTGTGTGGTGGCCGGGGTGGGGACTGCCCCAAGGTCACAGCCACTCTTTTATGCCAGAGTCAATACGCAGAGGTCCCCCAGAGGAGTGGATGAGACAGGATTTTCCTGGCCAGGCCTCAAATTTAAATTTGCAGTTACTTAACACAGCCAAGCTGTGTTACATGGGTCTACATACGTACACACACACACACACACACACACGCACATTCTCTGTACATATTAAATATTCTCTACCTCTTTTTTTTTTTTTTGGTACCAGGGATTGAACTCGGGTCCTTCTGCTTGCGAGGCAGGCGGCAGAACCGCTAAGCTAAATCCCCATTCTCTACCTCTTGGGACTACATTTTTTTCATTGTACAGATACAGAAACAAAGGTTTAGAATGGTTAAACAATTACCCAGAGGTCACACTGTCAGGAACGGAGCAAAAACCAAAGCCCACGTCTTCTGATTCCAAATGTAGTGCCCTAAACCACCTCATTCACAAGTGTTATATGATTGTCTTTCTCTCTCTTTCTTCCTATTTGTTTGTTTGTTGCTTTTTTTTTTTGGTACCGGGGATTGAACTAAGGACCTTGCCCTTTAGAGGCAGGCACGGTGCCTCTGAGCTAAATTCCCGGTCCTCTTCCTGTTATTTTTGAAAACTTCAAAAGACTGGATGTAACATTAAGAGATCTAATCACGCGCCGGGGATTTAGCTCAGTGGTTTCGCAGCCTGCTGCGCAAGCTCAAGCACCTGAGTTTGATCCCCGGTACCAAAAATAAAAAAACCAAAGATCTAATCATAAGAATATAAATGTAATTTGGATAAGAATTATAGGCCAGCAGAAGAAGGCCAGGAATATGAAAGACCTTTAAAGCTGACCTAGTTTGCCTCTTGATAGAGGCAAGGCTCACTTAACCCCAGCCAGATGACAATTCCAGCAGACTGATTTCCATAAAGTGGGTGGACACATTCCTGACCTTCCAGACTTATCTACAGCATCTGAGGATAGGCTTTACAAGAGAGATGATCCCACTCCTCAAACTTACTAATCTCTGACTGGGGGTCTGGAAAGACTAAAGAGGAGTCACTTGAGTTGGGCCTTGTGAAATACTGAGCCCTGGATGTGTAGAGAGTCAGGGGGCAAATTAAACTGAGGAAACTAAAAGTACGGCCTTGAGAAAATAACACTGGGAATGACAGATAGGTGAAGCTACAGGATAGGGTTTATTGGTTCCAGGTGGAGGTATGACTATTGCTTTAGGTGTCAGAATTGGAAACTGAAGCTCTTAAATATAAATGAAGAATCTTAATATCAGGGCAGAGCCATAGGAAGAATTTAGTCAGGGGAGTAGTGTGAGGTGAACAACATTGATTTCTTTTTAAAGAAATAAATCCAAACTTCTCAAATCACTAGCCAGCTAGAGTAGTTTAATAAGGGGTGAGGTTTAATTTCAGGCTTTAGTGGCATATAAAGAACATAATACAGCTTTTATAAATGAACCATATAGGGAGAAAACCTAGGATGAGGTGCAGAAAATTTGCTTTTCAAAAAAACTGTTTCCCTAAATCCCATGGCAACAGCTCCATGAAAGAATCTTTATCCACTTTCCTACTTGTATTTTCAAATTCTGTTTCTAATCAAGTGATAAGCCCAGGAGATAGCTACAGAGAAGGTAGAGTTTGATTGATTTGTTTTTCCCAGCTGCATTTCTGATTACAGGGGAGCTATAAATAATAGAAAAGAACCTCAGGCTTGGGAACATCAAGCCCATCCTACCTAAAATTCTGCTTCTCCTTTCTATCTCTATTTCTTTTTATCATTTTTCTCATCTTTTTTCTGTAGCATCAGAGTAAGAAGGAAATCTTGTCCTTTCTATGACTAATCCAGGCTTCCACTTTCTTAAGCCCATTCCTTTCTGCTTAATTTTACCAGTCTTCCCTTGTATTTTCAGTCTTTCTCTGTTTGATCCTTCTCCTAGGGCTATAAAACATACTCAGGTTACCTATATCCTTACTCATGTCATTGTTCTAGCTTCCTTATAAAACTTTTGTCCTTTCACTGCCCCTCTTTTCCAAGGCCCTACAAATACATTTTCAGTTCCCACTCCATTTTCGATTCCCACTCGCTTCCCCTTTGGGAAGCTGCCTTTGGCCCTGAGCCTTCTGTTTTCTTTGTAGGTGACTTCCTGGGTGACAGAGACCTGTTTAGCTCTTGTCAGCCTGAATTTTTCTGCAGCATTTGATGTTAACTGCCTCTCTTCCTTTCTCTGGTTCTCCTTTTGTTGCTCATTCGGCTCATTAAACTACACACTTCCCAAATATTATGCCTACCTGGCAAGCTCAGGGTCCTGAGTTGGATCCCTGGTACCAAAACAACAAAAAATAAGTATCCATCCTCAGGTTTCTTTGCCTTTAGATCAGTGAGTCTCAGACTGGGCTGCATAGAACCCGAGGTGGTGAGGGAGTCTCAGTGGTAGACCCCTTGCCTAGTGTGCACAGAGCTCTGTGTTTGACCCCCAGCACCAAAAGAAAAATGAAAAAGAATAACCTGAGGAATTTTTTTTCAAGTTTAAGTACAATTTATTATCTAGAATAGTTTGACGTTTACAGAGAATTGTGAAATTAGTACACAATTCTGTATACCTAATAGACAGTTTTACTTATTAATAACATTTAATACTATTTGTTACCAGTAACCATCTCATGGGAAGTCACTTTTTTTCTGATAGTCGACATGCTTTTCAGATAAGACTCAATGCCCAGGTCGTACCCCAAACCCTAATCAGAATCTCTGTGAAAAACATCAGTTTTTCATTTAAAACCTTTACAGGTAATTCCAGCCAAAGTTCTTATTCTGTATGAATTCGATGTATTCAACAACCTCACTCTCCTTAGTGCTCTCTGAAACCCAAGGCCATGGTTCAGTATATGCTGGAAAGTTCCCTCGAGTTCCCCCTGAGCACCTCAAAATCCCTGTGTATGAAATTGAACTGGTTTCCCCCAATCCCCACCTAGATATCTTCCTTGTTCTGTTCTTTTTATCCTACTAGTGTTCTAGACCAGTGCTGGTGAACGAACCTAGGACACATGTGCTGCAGCGAGCTCTTTGTATCTTTGAAAGCTCTAAAAGGTTCGCCATCACTGTCCTAGACCCTGGGGCTTAGAATTTGAGTCATTCTCCTAATCTCTTCTTCTCGTCTTTTGAGAACTCTGTATTGCCTGTAACCAGCTGTGAAAGATCTTGATGGTCTGGCTCAACCCTTATACTACTCTCTTCCTCACTTATGCTGGGTTCCAGGCAAATTAAACTTCTTGTTCTTTGCTTTCCTTCACTCTAAATGTCAAATGTTGAAATGTTACCATTTTTGTTTTGTTTTGTTTTTGGTACTGGGGCTCAAACTCAGGACCTTGCTCTTGCGAGGCAGGCAGCGGAACCACTGAGCTAAATCCCAGGCCTGAAATATTACCATTTTTGAAGGTTTGATTCAAATTACATTTATATAAAGCCCAATACCACACTCTTCAAAGGCAGAAATTCCTCTTGAGCTCCCATGATACTTTTCCCATTCTTACTGTATTTGCTCTGTGACACTGGATCTAAGAAATTGGATATGAGCTAATGATGATTCAAGAAACCAGTTGTCTTGGGCCTGGCGTGGTGGTGCACGCCTGTAATCCCAGCACTCAGAAGGCTGAGGCAGGAGGATTGCCAAAGTTCCAGGCCAGCCTGGGCTACTAGTGAATTCAAAGACAGCCTGAACTACATAGTGAGACTCTACTGAAAAAAACGAAAGCAGAACAAAACAAAGAAGAAAAAACAGAACTAGGCATCTTGCTGCATGCTTGTAATCCCAGCTACTAGGGAGGCAGAGGCAGGACAATCTTAAGTTTTAAGGCCAGCCTGGGCTACATAGCAAGACCCTGTCACAAAATTAAAAAATAAAAAGGGGTGGGCATGTAGCCCAGTGCCCCCTGCGGTTCTATCCCCATTAACACCTCCGCTCCAAAAGAAACCAGTAGTGGAAATTTCTGTCAGAATCCTGGAAGTTGCTGTAATATTTACTTAAAAAGAAGTCAGTGCTTAGATTATGACTAGCAGGACCATCCTTATTTAGAATATCCATGTTATAATGTAATATCTTCTCTTTGACATTCTCTAGATTTGATTCGAACTATCCGGGACCCAGAGAAGCCCAATACTTTAGAAGAACTGGAAGTGGTAACGGAGAGCTGTGTGGAGGTTCAGGAGATAGATGAAGAGGACTATCTGGTTATTATCAGGTTCACGCCAACAGTACCTCATTGCTCTTTGGCGACTCTTATTGGTAAGGGAGAGTGTGTGTGTGTGTGTGTGTGTGTAAATACTAAACTATTCAGGTGATATGAACCAAAACAACAATTTGTACCATGTATCACCCTTTATGATGACCAGTATTTTCATGTCTTCAACTTCTGTAACCCTCACAATTACCCTGTGAGAGTTAAAATACTATTATCTTCATCTTACAGAAGAGGAATCTAAAACTACTAGAGAATTTAAATGACTTGCTGGGAATCCTATAGCCAGGAAATGATGAGGCTTTACCCCGACATGGTGACTCACACCTGTAATCCCAGCACTTGGGAGGCTGAGGCAGGAGGATTGCTGCAAGTTTAAGGCCAGCCTGAACTACATAGCAAGACACTGTCTCAATTTAAAAAAAAAAAAAAAAAGATGAGGCTTAGACTGAGACCTAAGTCAGTCTGTTTCCCTTTTAGTTACATGCTGGTGCTTCTTTAGGCATGGACAGCCACAGTGAGAGGAGAGGGGCCAGGCAGAGGCTGGCTCCTCTCCTACTTGTGAGGATGCATGGGTGCTGTCAGACCAGCACTGCTGCCGTCACCATCTTCTGTGTTGTGTGTGCAGAAGTCCTGGTGGGAGGGGTCTTTTGGTAGTGCTGGAAATGGAACCCAGGGCCTTGTGCATGTTGGGCAAGTACTCTACCACTGAGCTGTATAGACCCAGCCCCCCAGAAGGGTATTTCTTCTTTTTTGGTACCAGGGATCAAGCTCAGGTCCTTGCACTTGTGAGGCAGTCACAGTGCCACTGAGTTAAATCCCCAGCCCCGGAGGGTATTCTTGAGGCATTTTCTACTTATAAGACTGCTTTCCCAATATTTTGGATCAATTAATAGTACTTTGATTATCTGCTTTGTTACAAAGAATAGAAAGGAGTGGGGCATGGTGGTGCACACCTGTAATCTTAGTACTTGGGAAGCTGAGGCAGAAGAATTGCAAGTTTGAGGCCAGCCAGGGCTACATAGTGAGTTTGAGGCCTGCCTGAACTACATACTGAGACCATGTCTTAAAAAAAAAAAAAAAAAAGAAGGGCCAAGGTTTTAGCTCACTGGTTCTGCTGCCTGCCTCACAGGC